GTTTCTGTTATTTTAGAATATTTTTTGCCTCAATTTGAAGTCTCTCGTCTCGTTGCACGTACCTCTATGAAAATTTAATACCGGCGCGTGAAGCGGTAATTATTTCGTTTTTGATTAAAAATCTAAAATCATGTAATTTAAAATGCAATAAGTGATGTTCACATTATCGATAATAGCTTATTCACTTTTTATCCGTATTGGACGTGAGGATATAATTCAAAGTAGAAAAACCTTTTGTGAAAAGAATTTATGTGAAATTACTATGATCAACGTCATTTCATTGACCTTTCCGATAGAAGAATGAATAAATATATATTTCGAAATAATTTCGAAATATCATCGTGTAAGAGAGGTGAGAGAAGAATTACCACGAAATGCAACGCATGATTGTTGTCATGTGGTCTTGGAGATCGACGGAACTACGACGACCGGAAAGCGTGCATAAATTATAAATTATGCGGAAGAGATAAAGGTGACTGAGTATAATACTACGTATGACCATGTAGATGTATGCATTATACATATATATATACTACACATCGCGCGTGCACATATATTAGATGAACATATATACGATGTTCCAACACATCGCAGTAGAGTTGCATTTTGCTGCGATTTAACTCATCTGTCTTCATTACTTACGTCTTTTTTTTTCCAACCGTCCTCATCGAACGGCCAAGTTTTCGCTAAACAAAACGTCTCAACATCAGAAGATCTCTTCATTGTTTAACGTGATATTTTCCGACAGTATTGAAAGTTCATGGATATCAACTTTTCCTTCGTCTATTACCACCGAAGTAAATTCAATCATGATAATCTTCACTATGAAATTAATCTAAAACGTATATAAGAGGACCTGCGATAAATGAATTTGCAATATCAATCCGCAAATCATTTGAAAATAATTAAAAGCTGTACAGAAAAAAGAATTTGAGGATTGAAATGTTTCGGACTGATGAGGAAGATAATAACGCTAAACGGATAAATTTGAAAACCAACGCTTTTGTTGAACTTTATGCTTAAAATCGAAAAATATCAATTAAAGCATTAAAGTCAATGCGACTAATTAAAGATGTGAGTTAAAAAATTGTCGAATAGAATGTAAATTTGCAATTAGAATTTCGAAATCCTAAAATTCCCTAAGGAAAATTATAATGGAACGAATGAAAAGGAAGCGAAATGAAAAATTTATCATCCAGGTAATAATTTACAAGAATACGTATGTATATGATTGATGAGGTTAAATCAAACATCTAGACTATTTTAAAATTACTATATTTATTATCCGTCTGGTGTATCATTTGAACAGACGTTTTATGTGTCATTTATATACAAACGTGTACTCTCTGTACATTCTGCCCTAAATAACCGATAATATTATACATAATCTGTACAGAAGCGAGAATTTTTTGATTACTAATAACCATAAGGTTTCTGACAATTTTACAACGCTTATAATTCACAGTCAACACGCACGTTTTTCACACTTTCCCTCCTTTTTGTTTCGCTACTACTGTTTCTCTTCCCTTGCTCGATAATTTAACATATAATTGACTAATTTAATTATTTACTTGCTAGTTGGTTGATGCACGCTGGCCTTGAAATTTCAGTTCTTCACAAAACGCGTATTTCTCCTTGATTTTGATTAGTCGACAAATAATACACAATGAAAAAAACGAATTTTAGGATTACCGATGAAACGTGCGTGCACGATCGCATTTTTTTTGGAAACATTTCCTGAAGATAGATAAGTTTTTGAAGTAAATTCGCTGTAACGTGATTCTAAGAACCCAGAAAATTATATCTTGTATTCGTTTGGAAACTGCAAAGATTTTTTCAAATAAACATTCTCACTCGTTCACAACTTAACTAATTTGCCGATTGATCGTTCTAATTGATACAATCTAAATCGGATATTTTCGGACTGAGACATGTTATCAAACCATAAATGCATTCCTTCTATTCTTTTTTTTTCGGTCGAGTGCGCGTAAAACATGCCCCAATACTCGATTATTAGTGGAAACACCGTGGAAAAATAGTTTGCCTATCGTAGTATTATAATCATACGCTTAGATATTCGACAATCGAACCGCTAAATCGATATCGCGTGTAAAAAAGGATTAGGCTACGCTCGATTTGAATATCGTCGTACATTAGGCAAGTTGACATACTTTAATCAAAAATCTACTTACTCGTTGGGTAAAATAATCTCTTGTAATACGTTGCGTCTTTTCTCATTTTCTAGACACTTCATCTCGAGTTTTCTCGAACTATGAAACTACCTGAACACTTTGAAGTAGTTCCATTTAAATTATAATATAATATGTGTATACTTATGTGTAGATGTTCGTCTCAACAACGCGTCACTTGCAATCGCCATTACGAAATGCGTTTCGATCTCGATATGTTTGCATTCTGTGCGGCTTGATTCTATTCGCGAGAAAAAACGTTGTGTTTACTCAACGAATGTGGGTTTCGGAAAAAAAAACTGCAGCTCGCAACGTGCACTTTAGTTATCAGTTTCAACGTGCAATGCAATTAAGAAGAATGCAATAGAAACAATAGAAATTATAATAAGTCCTTTGTTTTAATTAACTTTAAGATATCGCGAGTATACAATGTGCAATATGGCAGGGAATGAACGCCTCCGAAAAAACATACTGTATAACATTTTTGATTTCGATATAATACAATATTGTTTACAATAAAAATAGTATAATGTTAACGAAAATTTGCAGTATGATACAACGATCAGTAAATAGAGTTTTTTTTTTAGCCAACAACATTTGATTTACGTGACAACAAAAAATAGTTTCAAACTTGTGTGATGACAATATTAACAATAATAGAGCTTGTATCACTTTCTCATTTACAAAATTTTTGGTCCGTGATCCAATCGATCCAATATGCGGAAGATAATCTCTTTCGAATGAAAAATAAACCCTAAAAAGGTATAGTAGCGCCGATCTCCAGATCCATCGATCTTTCGGTTAAATCGATCGATCTGACGACACAACGGAGCGCGCTAAGGGACGATCGCGAGCCGTCCAATGAACTTTGAGTACCCACGGTTCTCCTCGATGGTCGAACAAATCTTCTGCTGGTTCTGTTAGGCCAGGTTCGATAAAAGGGCTCCTGCTGGCTGTGGTGTTTCAAGGCACTCCAGATGACCGAGGATCTTCGCGGTGGTAAATGGGAATGCGATAGGCAAGCGCAGTGTTGCCACGCTAAAGTCGGTGTTTTGCAACGGAAAATAGGAGCTCTAAAGGCCTCGGGAGGTTTCAGAATCAGGAGGTCGTTCAGTTTTAAAGACAGTTTGGTTGACGACTCTTTCGAAACCGGAACACCATCCATTGACTGCATCACGTTGCGTCCAGTCGACTGTAGAATAGCAACATCACCGCGTAATGTCTCCGTATTTGTCTCGATAGACTCCGAAACGGAGGTATCGTTCAGCTCCGTTCCGTTGATTTCACCAATATTGTCGAAACGAGTCTCTTTTATTTTGCCGATTTCCACCGATTTCGGTAACGGGACGTCATTCTGCTTTCCCATTATATGAGACCTTGATGTTTCAGAGTTTCGTAAGAATTCCGGAACCGAATTACGGACCGATTGACCGATAGGCCGATCGATCGCGTCGACATGCGTGGATCAAGAGGACGAATTCGCCTCTATCGTCGAACTGGTGGAGGCATCGTCGTCCAAGGAGCTCTGTGTCGCTACAGTGACTTTGTTACCATCGTTCCGACTAGGCAACTGAAGATCAGTGACAGTTTGACGGGGATGGCGTCTCTTGTAGGGCTCCCAATCCCCAGAACCCCGGCGTCAGTGCGTTGCGATTACGTCCGGTGCGCTCTTTGTGCTCTCTATACTGAATGGTCGCCTCTGATCTATTTCTATCACCGCTTCTGCTCTGTACCTGGGGTCAGATGTCGTTTGCTGAGGACACTTCGGCGTGCTAGAGTGTTGATTGCTCGATACGTTGCTCGATCCGTGTCCAGATCCATACACAGAACTGCCGTACCTCTCGCCGGAGCCAGTTGTACCTTGCCTCAATAATTTCGGCGATTGACGATAGACACTGTTTTCTCTGTTTGGCTTTGGGCTTTGAAACCTTTGATACGACGGATAATCCGGAGGTTCTTGGTAAGGAGAACCTTGACGCGAAGGTAACGGATAGCTTGATTCACGAGTCGACCAACCGGGCGGGGCTGGAATTGGGTTGTGTTTTGGACAAACACCCATACTGCCGTCTCGATCCCTCGATGCTGGACTACAACCAGAACATTGAGAGCTTGGCTGCTGAGAGCCATGCTCGGAAGACTGCTGCACGCTGTGCTGCGAAGGCTGAGAGCTTTGGCGCGATTGTGGCGGACTTTGATGATGAAGGTACTGATGACGATGATGATGAAGATGATTGGTCCCGTTTTGAGAGCCCGGAGCACGAACACCAAACGTCGTGAACCCCATGGGCATTACATTGTCCGGGATTCGAGGCTCAAAAAGGCTTTCTCGTGTTTGACAAGAATTGTCGCGCATTTCAGGCTCCTCACTGGATTCCTGTAGACGTTCCTGGGTGGCATTACTAACATTGTTACTTTGGTGAATGTCGTTCATGTCTCTTGTATTGTAAGCCATCTCTAATACGAGATCTTTCGTATAGTCCTGTGCTATTAAGGTTGTGGGTGGTAGAAGTTCTTTACTGGGGATCACTTCCAGACTCGGCGAGTCGCTCCCTCGATCCCTGATGTCCGTTCTGGAAGATGTGATTGGACAGGGTGTTGTCTTACGACCAAGTTCATCTAATCGATTTTCTCTGGATTGTCTAATGTGTTCCTGGACAAGACAAACGAATTTTTTCAATTAGCCGAACAAATATTGTAATAACGTACAGAAATAGTCAAAAGTTTCTAGTAACTATCTTCTGTTAATGGTATTTGTACTGTGTCTCTTGTTTAATTAGCTAGAACGGATCATTATTTAGATATTTGATCAATAACATTACAAATGTTATGTCACATATTGAAAGTATGAAACATTATCTATTTGATCTTTTCCCATATCGTATTCACGCACACGTCATATTACTTTATGTTTCAATTTCAAGAAGCTTTGTAAATGATACATTGGTTGTTAACTTTGAACAAATACGGTACGTTATAGTATGTCATTTCTTATTCACGGGATTAAAATTTTAAGAAGTTGCCGGTGGTTTTAATTACTCAGTAATTTTTCATTTGTTCGATTTTTTTTTTTTTTTTAATAAAATGAGGATTTTCCATCTCGTTACCTTATACGTTGAATTCACATTGCAAATAACGCACTTCCGATGATAGTGAAACGACCGATCAATAGTATCAGTTTACTGTAAATAAAAGCGATATTTAGTTTCCTCGTTGAAATAAATGGAAAGACCGGGCTACGGAATGAAATATTTTATAACTGTAATTATGCAGCATTACAATAATAATGTATTTTGATTTCAAAAAAGTATTAGCAATTACTCGTAAATAATTATCGCGTTTCCAAGCTGATTGTTTGTTCAAAATTAATTTTCATCCTCTTCTTTAATACTTATTAGTGTTTCCCAATCACGATTCGATCTATCAATCTCATATTTTCTATTTCTTGTAAATTGAACTCATTCGTAACAAACGAACCGTGGACTCATTTTGTGTTGTGCCGTTTCAATCTTTTTGCGAATTGTGTGTATGTTAGACACGGAATACACGAGATTGTACGTGACAAGTTCAGATCGTGGACCGAATCGAAATCCTACTATGTTCAAAACATAATAGAAATTCTAGGAACGTGTAACAAGGCGAATCGGATATAATGCACAAAGGACCTCTAGTCTTTCGTCATTTATCGATACGTGCGTTTCGTGTTGTTCGTGATATTGTATATAATCTTTAAAATAAATCTAGTTTCAAAGATTGTCAAGCATATCACACATCGGTACGTGCACTAAATAGAGATAATAATTTTAAGCATAGTTGGTTGCGTTTAATGCTAATGTCGCGCTCAGTGACTTTCCGAGTAGTTTCCGAGTAATGACTTTCCAACTTTCCGAGTAGTTGTTTTGCGAAACACGCAAGGGTCAAGCAAACTCAACCCTCAAATTTATTTATTCGGGAAAACATATTTTTCTGAAGAAATGACAAATATGGACCCCTAGACAGATGGATCCAAGATAATGGTTCCATTCGGATCATTTTTCAGAAAATTCATGTTGTCGCGACACCGTGACACCCTAACTTTTTCAAAATTCACCCCAATCCCCGCTCCAATCGACAAGATAGGGCGTTTTATAGGCAGAAAAATCAAAAGCAGTCAGTTTGTTTTTCAAAGTCAGTCCGTGTTCGAGCTTAACCTGAATCTAACTTCGTGTATTTACTCTTGACAAAGTACAGGTTTTAAAAAAAAGGAAATCCAAGTTTCTACATTGAATCCTCAAAGTCATCTCGACGACAAGATTTTAACACAGAACACGAATACTTTTGAATAAATATCACGATCGTTATTAAAATATAAATATCAAGCAATACAACATGTAGAATCATTGAGATCGTGTCTAAAAAATTTATTATACCACACTAAAATATTCTATGTGAGAAAACATGTAATCATATTTTACAACAGATTGTTGATAGAAGAAGATTCACTTACCCGAATGATTCGATGATCTCGAATCAGCTTCCTCACGCAGTTGAAAACGAAGGCGAAACTCATGCCAAACATGATCAGCGAGAAAACGATGAGAATTATAACGATATGCTGTGAGTCAATCAACCGAGATTTTTTTTTCTGTAATGCAAAATATAAAATAAGAAATTTCTTGTTTAATTGTGAACAACCTGGAATGCATGACGTTTTAAATACAAACCTAGTTTATATTGAAAAAACTTGAAATTTATAGTTATAAATTATGTTCATAATTACGGTTGTACTGCGGTTTTTTTTATATGTTTATAGGAAATTTCAAAATGCAAAATTGCACAGAATGTGCGTAATATGAAAAAATATCCAAATAAATTTTGATTTTTCAAAATTTATATAATTCATATTCTCAAAGATATATGACTTTAAAAAAAAGTATTGAATTTTATTACAAGAATGTTAGGAATTTAATATTTTCGACATAATCTGATTGGATTAGATGTAATAAGAAAATATTAATAAGAATTCATTTGTCATATGTAAGTATTTGTTTCGGTAGAATCAACATTCACCTTGACAGTTGTTTATCACTAACAAGGAGATAGTAGAAATTGCAAAATCTCGAATGAGTTTATGCATTCGATGTTTTACGTTGATACTAAAACAATCCCAAAAATGTTCGAGTGCATAGTGCTTCGTTTTTGAGAAATTAACAAAAAAAAAAGATGCGAAGATATGTGGCATGCAATGAAATTATTGGATAATCGCGATATATTTAAAAATGTTATTAAACTATACTTCCCAAATGACATTCATAATCAACATTGCATCTGCAATAATACGATTTCTTTTGTAAGCAATTTCTTACGTTTCAAATGCTTTTGTTTACGATATCTATAAAATTGTAAAAAGATGCAGGAACACTATAGTAAATAAAAATAATAAAAATATTATTAAAATAAATTGCAAAAATTTAATACGCATAAACGAAATAAAAGTCTGAGAGTTTATTCACTTGGCTACAGATTACTACACGTATTTTTGAACTCCATTTATGTTCGTACTTTCCTACGCTCGAAATAAAATATATTTCTCGAAAAAAAAAGATCATGTATCAAATCCTTTTAGAATTATTTTACCATCAACGTAAAGCATTGTATGTACATAGAGCCAACTCATCCAAAATTTTGCAATTTTTGTCATTTTGTCATTCGTAAATTATATATTTATCTATAGAAGTTACCGAAATGGAGGACGGTACATGTAACATAAATTGTGTCTTTTTTATCCCTTTCTCTGTAATTTGTTTATCGCGTTTGCGGGCAGCGAACTGATACTATTATTAAATATTCTGCCAAAATTTTCAGTGGCATGTCATATCTTTTCGTATACATAACAAAATTAAAATTCAGAGATGAAATTCTTCTTATCGCGTGCATGCGAAAGTATTGCCCACAGCGCCTCGTAGCATGTCTTCGTTTTCTTTTCGTTTCAATCCCTATTGTTGTGTATAACTGTACTTCGAAGTTATAAATAATGGAAATGTAGCCGGTATATCTCGCCAAAGGCTCAATTTTCAAATCCTCTCTTTCGGTCAGGAACTTTTATGAACGCGTATAAAACTGATTACTACAGTTTTATGACTACAAGACGAAATTGGAGTGCTTCAGGTGGAACAATAGGGGATAAAGCAGCCAATATGTTTCAAAATCGATTAGAATTAACGCTGCTGTGTTATTGTTGGACTGAATGGATGGATAGGATAATCTCCTGACTTCGTTGGTAGCGCGTCCTGATTTTTTATGTTCACGTGGATCGCTAAACCACGAGCATATATGACCAAGATAAGAATAATAAGCACATCGCGCATAATGAGAGAATATTTTGCGAAAAGCTGGCACCGTTAACGAAATAGACGGAGTTATCGTGGTCCTATTTTTTACCGAAATGTTTGTGGAAGCATTTCTGAATGTCGAAAAAATGAGATTTCTGTGCATTAGATCATCGATTCAACATTTCTTAGAGAAATCTTGAATCGATGGCAGCGCAACTGAGGGGAGGAAGAAACGAAGAAATGGCCAAGAGGAGAACGACAAGGTCGAGGGATTGAAAAAGCCTCTTTCTGCTTTCGTGAGTCCGAGAGGTTTATTGTTATGCTTATATGGGCGAGCACACTTCAACGAACGTTTTACGTGTTTGCTAAAGTCCGTACAAAAATACATTTCGAATGGCTACTGCATTCGCGACGAGAGACATTTTGATGCTTTCCTCCGCTATCGAGCAGGGATTTATTCCGGCCTGCAAGCGGAACTTCGATATTTTCGATTGTATCGATATTTATTCGGCTTTACTCTGCTGAATGTCATGTCGAATATGATGAAGATTTTCTTTCAGGTAACGTTTTTTCCCAATCCTTACCGTTTTCTTCCCTTCAATACCAAGAGTAATAACATTACTAATTTATTGATATATTCATTTTCATTCTCATCGCGATTACTTCGCATTAATTTAGATTGGATTTTTTTTTTAAATACCATGGATTAAGTTTATGGACATTTTTAAGATTTCATTATTTGAACAAAGTGTTTGGCAACAATCAAACTGTTTTCAAACTGTCAGATTAGATTTGCATTTGGCATTTGGCATTTAACACTAGCGATTTTTAATATTATTATCAAGTAATCGTACATAATCTAAGAATATCGTGTTAAGTCATTTATATCAATTATACTTATGGATAATTCGATAATTATTTACAAGCGGACTTCACGAACTTTTATGATTTTGAAATGTGTGCATGATACCGAACTTTTCCCTATGTATGTTATCACTGCTCGGCTTAAATTCCCAAAATCAAAAATAATTTTTGGAATATATTTGAATTAATTGAAACTATCAATATTTGAATTAAATTTATATTATATTTAAATCGTGCCAGAAGGATGGAAATACCTCTGTACAACATAGTATTAAATAATATCACAACTATAATTCATATTAAACTTTTTATTGTATTACCGTCATTCGAAATTGAGAATACCTCAACCGTAATGTCAGAAAAAGCAAACTATTCAGCTACCAATTATATTGCCGTCGAAATAGCTATATAACCGTAATGTGTTTTACGAGTTCCATCCGTGGAATGTTCGCTTGAATTTTCCGCCAAATTTCTACGTTTGATGTGCTACTGTGCATTACTGTGGATCAACAAAATTTATCTAATTTTAACAACTAAATGATTGTATCTTTTATATTATATGTTATATTCTGTTAATACTATCAATGCAGTCATTTAAACCTAACTTAAAATTTAATCTAAGCCTACATTGATAGTCTTAATTAATACAAGCATATCCAAGACGTTAGAGATACGATATAAAGTAACAAAAATATCTTTGCAAATATCTTGGAAATTAATTAAATTAAAGTTTTTAATTTAATTAAAGTAATTTATACGGTAACATGTATAGGAAAAAATTGTTCACAATATTGATCTTGATAACATATTTCAAAATCGTCAATAAAATTCGCGAGATTGTCGCTAATTTTGTAAATATAATAATTGCCGATAATTCTTATCATCGTAAGTATCACGTCCACGTTGACAAAAAAAAAAAAAAAAAATAAAAATGTCGCGTTATTGCTTACAATGTCTATTCATTCGAATTTTCCCTAATTCTATTTAATGACAACTGAGAATCTTCGCTGACTTTTTGCATAGGTTCGTCTATTCCTTGACCCGGATCACTGCAGAATCAGATTCGCGCCCTGCTGCATTGAAATTAATGATAGTCCGGCGAGGATCCGTTTCTTTCGTTCGAGAAAAGAAATAATTAGTCGCGAGAAAAAAAATACTGAAGAACTTCTCATTAACGGGGAAATAACGAATGTATGGCGAGGATTCTGTTATGTTCTTGATTCCCGTTTTATGTTACCGCAAGGGCGACAGGCATTGCGGAAAGGACTGATAATTAAAGAACATTCTTGCGACGGTAATTATTATAAAATATCTCGTCACCCGGTGTCAGAGTGAAATCGATATCTTTAAGAGAAGAGCCCCGAGAACGACCGATATAAATGAAGACGCGAACTAGTCGATCGAGGAAGAATCAAATGCGACTTTATTTCATTCGAATCGTGCAATTGAATCGCGAAGATTAATACTTGAATAGAACTTAATCGGGGCTTGAATATCAATCGTCCAACTATCGAGTTTTCTTCTTAGCTTGAGGCGATCATGCAAAATTTCATTCTACTTGGGAATCTTTAGGATGTAATCATGTGCTCAGTTTAATAATGCTCAAGGTAACATTGTATGGACTATTTCTCCATCGCGTTTTTCTCTTTTCTTCACGACGTCTACTTTCCATTAGTATTTACTTGCCAGCGTTAAATGATGTGTAGGGATGTACTTTCCATTAGAGGGAAATAAAATTGAATAGGATGGTTGCCATGGTGTGTTCGCCACGATTTCGTTCTGCATTCTATTTGTGCCGTTAATTTCGTGACTGCTTTCCCATGCGAACTGGCTCACTATCTAGCGTATAATCTTGTCATGCTTTATTGCAATCATGAAACACAGCTAGGTATACGGATACTAGAAAGAGGAATAAGAGAAGCAATAAACAGCAATGAAATACTCGGAGATGCAACCTTTGTTCGTTAAACGCCGGCAACGATTTTTCATTTTCTACCGAGGAGTTTGCGCGACTCGCAAATGGCTGTATAAATTTTTATTGATTTTGTGCTTGAGTCGATTACGAAGCTCTCTGAATAATATACTTTGAAAAATCTCTGACTTGCGAAATATCGCAAAATTACGAGTGATCTCCCTTCGAGTTTTCTTAAAGTTCGAAGTTTAATTTCTTCCAATTTGAGCTCTTTTGTTTAAAAAGCGGTATAAGTTCAATTTCGAAAAAAAAGAGTTAAGGCTAGTTTTAGTTAGACATGAATATTTTCTTTTCATGCTTACAATAACAAATGCTGTACAATATCCTTATAAATTCGTTAAAAGATGTTTAACTGATGAATGTTATTGCGAGAATGTTGTTTTTGAAAGTGGGATAAATCTAGTATATACTGTTCAGGACTATTATAACATAATAAAGAATTGTCAAGAAACAAATAACTTCCTTTTACATGAAATGAAACGAGAAGATTTTGTCTCAACGAAACATCCTGTAAGAGGCAACATCAAATAGGAAAATAAATATAAACGGAGAAATTATAGATTCGCTGAAAATATACTGGATAAGGTTTAAAAGTGATGAATCTTACAAAACCATCTATGGAAAAAAATGTACAATTTAAGTTCTGGGTTTATTTGGGAAATGAAGGCCAAACAATTTTAGTAAAATAACTGTGTTACGATTGTACGCAACTTCAGGATCTATAACAGAGATAAATATAATGATTATTACTGCTTTATCGTCTTACATACTTCCTATTCATCATGAATAAAATATGGATAAAATTATTATTGGTTATCTTAACGAAATAATTTACTTTTTATAGCTGTTTTACTATAAATTCTTTTAAAAGAATATATAACTGAAAATATTTTTCAATAAAGTCAATTTTAGTTACATGTCACTAATTATTATTTTTTATATTAAAAAAATACATTTTTAAAAAGTCTACTTCAATTAAAATACAAATTTAAAATTGTTATTGTTCATGTTTTTCAAAATTTGTTATTATTGAAAGTAGTATAAGTCTACTTCTAGCTAAAAAATCTTTTATTTTCTTCAACAATTTTGTTAAATTACTATTACATATATAATACTACTATAATATTACTAATATTACTACTATATAATACTACTAAATTACTATATACATAATAAAATTTAACGTATATATAGTTTTAAAAATATTATCCCAATTTATTAATGTTTGCCAATTTTGTTTTAGTTCAAGCGCAAATTTTTATATA